AGCAGAGGTTGTGTGTGTAAGGAGTGGTGTTAGAGGTCAGGTAGGAAGAGTCCTAACAGGTAAAGAGTGAACTTTCTGCATCCTCTAACCTACTGTGTTCCTCTGTCCACTTCTCCATCTCTTTCACTTTTGTGACCCTGTGCATCTCTTAAAGTTCATCGTAATGCAACACTATTAGAACTTGAGACTTCAGTTTATTCTTCCTATAATCTTGACCTGCTCTGGTAGGTGAAATTGAGATAGAAGCAGCATTACAAAGATGGACCATCATTGTGAAAGACACCAAGGTCAGATATGACTTTGGGTGAGTAGCCAGGCTCTGGTGATTTCCTCATCCTTAGGTAAAATGAGAGTGATAATCACTTTGAGACTATTTCCCTTTTTTTTTTTTTTGCAGTTTTTGGCCGGGGCTGGGTTTGAATGCGCCACCCCAGCATGTAGGGTCGGCGCCCTACCCCTTTGAGCTACAGGTGCCACCCTACCTATTTCACATTTTTTTGTGGGTTAAATAGTTTATGTGAAAGTACAAATACTGAATTGTATATAAATCCAAATGCAAAGTCAGTGGTTCTCAATACTAGCTGTACATTAGAATTGTCTATAGAGTTTTTAAGACAAAAATACCCTATGCAATGCTGTATCTTAGATTGAATCCTGAAGCAAAAAAAACTACTGAAAACAATTAATAAAAACCAAATAATGTCTGTAGTTTAATTAAGAGTAATGTAACTACTTTCATTTCTTAGTTTTGACAAATGGGCTGTGTCGAGATGAATGATAAGATGTTAGGCCAGGCAAAGTGGCTCATGCCTAGAATTCTAACACTTTGGGAGGTAGAGGCAGGAAGATCACTTGAGGCCAGGAGTTTGAGACTGACCTGAGAACCATAGCGAGACCCCCTTTCTACAAAACAGAAAAATTATGGGCTGTTCCTGTGGCTCAGTGAGTAGGCCCCATGTACCCAGGGTGACAGGTTCAAACCCAGCCCCAGCCAAACTGCAACAAAAAAATAGCCAGGCATTGTGGCAGGCACCTATAGTCCCAGCTACTCTGGAGGCTGAGGCAAGAGACTCACCTAAG